GTTTGCACGGTGAGACGATCCGGGTCTTGAAGAAGTCTTTGACCTGACTGGAGAAGACGGGGATAAGCCTGAGGCAGAAGAACGGTCCTTGGATGAGCGCTGCTTTTGTCCATCGGCAACTTTCGTGTTGAGAGAAGGGTAGCGGGATTGGTGATAAGATATAGAGGTTGGGGTATGAATTGATAAAGGCTTGTCCGTATTTCGATCTCCCTCTACAGCTTTGCCCTTTTCACCATCCAATGAGCCAGGAACTCCATCAATATCGTCGACTAGGGACGTTGGAGGGGACACAAGGCTGCCAATTGGGAGCATGGACTCTGGGGCAATTGGATGTTCAGAAGGAGCTTCTGCCTCTGAGTTTCCAGCTGGAGGAGACGAATAAAGAGGGCTATCTCGAGGGAAGTTGGACTTGAGAACATGCGCCTTGTCTTTTGAACTGTCGATCTTAGAGTCTTGAGCAGAATCTGTATCATTCTTTGTGCTGGAAGATGTATCTTCTGTGCTGCGTGGTGATTTATTCTCACCGCGCTTCTGCTTTTTCGGGGGGCTTGATTTCTCATCTTCAGGACGTGAACGTTTTGTCTTGGGTTGCTCTTGGATCTTGACCGGGTCGACTCGACCGGCTTCATCATGGATGCATCGGCGCTAGTATGTATTAATACATGTGGTTATGAGGTAATAAAAGGGGGGAATATACTGACCTTACTCTTCCGACATTCCTCGCAGGCCTTTATTCTGCCCTTCTTACTAGAACTTGATGATCCAGGACTTGTTTCCTGAGGTCTCCTCAACCCGTTTCCGCCCGCGTCCGGAGGATTGGGGCCGGAAATGCTTGCCTGGTGTGGTATGCCATTGCGATAAGGTAGAGAATCCCCATTTGCCCTATCTATGGAATCGTCAGGCCGTGATGTAGTGAGGGTCGTGTCTCCCCCATTTGCACCAAGAGAAGGATCCTTAGCAGTTTCTTGGTCGGAGCTAGCATCGAGACCACCACCCTCCTTGTGACGACATTTGATACGGCGTTTTCGGCAAGGGTCACAAGCGATTCTTTTAGGACCGAGGCTTGCAGCTTTAGGCGTCTGCCGTGGGTTGGCCTCCAAGCCTTTGTTCTCAGCAACAGAAGGCCTGCGTATTTCTCCAGCAGGTGTTCCACTGCTAGAAGAAGCGGAGACGTCTCGCAGAGGCGTACTAACTGCAGGTTGGGATCCTTGATCAGACGGCTTCTGGGTACTGTTTAGTGATGGTCTCGACTTTTGAGAGCCAGTCATAGCACGCTCGGACTGTTTGCGTGGTCGAGTGCTCCGACGTTTATCAGACATGTCGACTTTTACATCCATGACGATTGCTCCGGGACGAGTCCACTGAGGTGCAAGTTCATTGCCCCGTTTCCAAGCTACCCAAACTCCGAATTTCTGAGCAATATCAACGGGATCACCTTGGCCTTTGGGAATAGACCTGCTGACGGCGTTTCTCGTTTCCTTCGTAACGCCATCGACCTTGTAGCCGCCTGCAATCAATGCAGTTCTCAGAATGTATTTGGCCAATTCGGGAAGTCCGTCAATTTCGCTTTGGGAGTAGAATTTGGCGTCATAATAATCAGACCCTGGCTCCTGACTGGCAGCAAATTCTTCTGCTTCTGGGTGATAAACGGGGTTTTCACGATGGAATTGGTAATTTTCGTCTTGAGCAAAAGCATCCCGAAGCCGCGGCGGTATGGGGTCATCAGCCAGATATTTCAGGACAGTTAGCCACATAATCTTTTGGAAAAATGGATATCGGAATTTCCGCGGGACTTTGGCGTCCTTTTCCATCTTCGTGATCTTGAGCTGCATCGCGTAGTTCATCCTGGTCAAAAAGTTACCGCCTATAACCAGGCTGTCTTCCGGTGTCCAAACAGCATGGATCCAACCAGACGGAATCAGCATCGTGTCACCCTCGGAAAGGTCTACTCGATAACACTCTTTGGATTCCGTTCCGAGAAAGGTGGTGTCTTGAGCAGGGGAATTACACCATTCGTCGTACTTTTTCAAATGCTTCTCCTTGGGCGGGATGAAGAAGAAGGTTTTCTTCCCCTTTAGTATGTGGTAATACACCGACGAGCCGCCGAAGTCGATATGGAAATCAGTGTAGCAGTCGGCAACGGACATCAGGCAATAAAACTGGACCTTTGGATAGTCTCCAAGAGCCTGCTGTTCAGGTGGCCAGACTGAGTCCTGGAGGTCAAGTTCGCGAACCACTCGCGGACGCCGCAAGAGCCGTCCTACCGGAGACTGTGAGACTTCAAGACTTATAACATTCTTGACCATCTTGGTGGAGCTAGTATCGTAATAGTAATCCATCCATCTCTGCATAGTCCATTTCTTCTCTTCGCCTTGCTGCGATTTAACGTCGATGACTTCGATCTTTTCCTCTGGTCCGTAGATCTCACCTACGGCCTTTACTGTGAGGCCCTTGGGGATGACCATGTCCAGGAGATCCTGGCCGCAGTCAATAGCCTCCTCATAACCGTTATCTTCGGGTATGGTTGCGTCGAATTCTTCTTCGGTAGTAGCTTCGTGGAAATCGAAACCTGCGCGCGAGTTCATATGAGCGGGAATAACAATCGGCTCGATCATGCCAGCCCCGCGTTCAAAGTATGAAGCGGTAACCAAATCAGGCGGCATCCTGGCGAAGTGATCCGGCAGGAAGGTTATGGTACCTTGCTTTATGGCAGCAAGATGGATGTTTTCGTGCTCTTCGGAGGGGGGTTTCACAAATCCTTGGTTCAGGCCTGCGTAATCGATAGCCGTTCGAGGACGAGTGGACTTGCGAACGAAGGTGGTCGGGCCGTGTACCGGGCGACATTTGGTGCAGATGAACTTGTCCACGGTCCGTATCTCATGGTCGCTCTTGAAGCCGCAGCAGACGATATGGAACCACTGGTCACATCCGTCGCAATTGACCCAGGTAACCTCTGCATCGTCTCCTCCGACTCCAGCTGGGGCACGGTCCCGGTTACATGCCGCACAGTTCGTCTGGCCGGCAGAGCTGCCATCTTCGGCGGCCTTTTGTTTCGTTCGTGGTTTGGATTTGGTTGGTTCCTTGTCTTGAGACGGTTTAGAAAACGGTATAACGGGCGTCTCTTGGCCCCATGAAGGAGTTGGAGGAGCAGAAGGAGTAGGAATATTCTTATACTTCTTCTTCTTCCTTGCAGGCTTCTCTTCCTCTTCCGGGTCGTCTTCAAGCGCAACCCCCATTGCAGAGGGATAGAGAGGCGAGTCGGGCAAAAGGCCGTTCATGGCTGGTCGGGAGAGTGCGGCAGCGCCATCTGACTGAGATCGTAGCCTGACAGGCGGGACACCGTTTGCACTTCCTGCCATCCCAGGCCAGGCGGGAACACCTCTGTCGCGCGTGACATCGCCATGGTCGTAGGCAGCAACCGCAGAGGCAGGACCGCGCCACAGATCGGTGTTCCAGGAGTGAGTAGAGTTCTCTGTAGTGACTCGAGACAGAGGAGTGATGTGAGGGGAGTAGTGGGGAGAGTTGGTCGGTCTGGCGAAGTTGAGCAGCAGCTCGGCGTCTGTTTTCATGCTGTCGAGGGTGGAGACATGGCTCGTTGCTGGCCTGTCTCCGAGTCTCTGCCAGCCCGGCGAGTGCGCCTTTTCAGACTTTGCTCGCTTCGACGGTCTCTCGTCGATGTCCGGAGCAGCTCCCTGATGCCCGAGAGGCGAGATGATGGGCTCGTCCGGTCCATCGTAGGCGAGAGGAGAGAAGGTCGGGCTGGTGGCTAGTGCTATTGTAGCAAGAGTGTCGATGGTAGACCTGGACCTGGCGTGTCCGCCGGGCCTGCCGGGGGACTGCTGCTGGTTCTGCTGGTGATTATGATGCTGGTATTCTGGGTGTGGTTGTTGTTGTTGCTGCTGCTGCTGTGGTGGTGGTGGTGGTGGTGGTGCTGGATGTTGATGGTGGTGCTCTAGCGGCTCGACGCCCCGATGACTGTTGCTGCTGTGTCTCCATGCCTCGTCCACCGACGGAACAGACCCATCGCCGCCTCGGCCGGAGCCGCTGGCGCCTGGCTTCCCTAGCCGGTCACGACGCGGAAGCGCAGCAGGACTGGCCGCAGCGGCAAAGGAGAGACGGGGGGAGAGCGGCTCGATCGCATGGCGAGGAGGGGAGGGAGTGCGGTAGTGCGACGGGCGGTTGGTAGGATGGGCGCCGAACGAGGTCGAGGGCGCCATGGCCGGGAAGGCAGGGCGTCTGGCGGTGCACACAGAGACAGGCCGGGCTGGAGAGGGAGATCAGGCCAGGCCGGGTTGCAGCATCGGCGCGTTGCAGGCAGAGAGGCTGTTGATGGCGGGGAGTTCTCGAGGGCGGACGGTTGGCGTCGACGGCGGCCGCAAGCATCGACGCAGCGCCCGGCGGCCTGGCGGGCGACGTTCTCGGTTCGTTTCTCGTGCTGGCTGCAGGACGGCCGTCAGCTTCGACGCAGGAAGACGCCCATCAGCGGTCGGGAGGCAGCTTGGTCGGTGGTCGGTGGTCGGTGGTGCAGCGGCGGCGCGAAAGGTGAAGTGTTCGGTCGGTCGTCTTTTTTGGTTGCTTTGCGAGAAGTCAAGAAGAAGAAGAAAAAAAAAGAAAAAGACAAGAAAAAGACGAAGCTTTTGGACGGTACGGTACTGGGATTACGGTCTTTGTTACGAGGGTGCCGCGGAGGGTGTGCGGGCTATCGTAATTTAAGCGGTAATACAGATACAGGGCCAGCATGCAGGTCAGACATCCTCGTTTTACGCTGCGAGGAAGGCCGGAAGAAAGGAAGAAAAGGGACTAAAAGGGCTGCGGGATGGGCTACCAGTGCTGTCTGTAGCTGTGGAGAGTCAGGGGTTGCTGCGTGGTGGGCGAAGGGGGGACGGGGACGTCGGCCAGGGGCTACCAATTTTTTTGCATTTTGATATCTGGATATCTGGGGGACTACCAAGAAAATTCTGATATAAACACACGCAGTCAGCGTTAGGCGGGGAGACCTGCTATACTACCATCGACCTGGCGCGGGCCCGCTCTTCCACCGTCAGCTTGTCCACCACGTCGCCGTCCGCCTGCGAGATCTCCTCCCACTCCTCCTCCTCCATACCCATGACCATCACTATCTGCGTGCACCGGGCAAAGGTCTCGCGGTGACGGTACCGGCCTGCTCTGCCGCCAATGCTGCCTCCTCTCTCCCCAGCAGCGGCAGCAGTGGCAGCGTCATGGTGGTGGCCCTCAGCCACGTCCACTGCAGCGGCTATTATCCCGGTAACGTCTCGCTCTAGCTTGGTGGTCCCCAGGGCGTTGACCCGCCCGTGGTAAGACCAGAGCCGTTTTTCCAGCAGCCTCGACAACGATGTCAGCGTCACGCCGAGCAAGCGGTCAAAGGTGTTGGCGGTCAAGATGCGAGCGATTGGCAGCATGAGGTCCCGCCAGCCAGCTGCAAACCGCTGGCGGACCAGGCCGTGATGGTGCCCGGTTTCATGGTGCATCAGGGCGTCGTCTTCAGCACCTGGGCCTGCTCCGTACGCTCCATCTTCTCCTTCGCCGTCCGGGGGCTGGTACTCGGCGTCCCTGAAGGCGTCTGCAAGGATAGGACGGAGACGGGACTTGAGCACGTTGTTGAATATGACTTGGATGCCATCGCCGATGAGATCCTGCGCCTTGGACGTAAAGGTAGCAGACAACGACCGTAGCGTACTTAGGACCACCTGAGCATCGTCAGCAAGCGGGAACAGCATCGATATCCGGGGTTGAGCGCTGGCATCATTGGTTACGTCGGCCCCGGTATCTGTGGACTCCATGTGTCGTTTCACAATGCGCTCCAAGTAGTCGACAGCAACGTCCAGGTTGTTGACGAGCACAAGAAAAGACACCACCATAGCAGGGGGAGGCTGGCCGCCTGGCACAACGGGTCTGGGGTGCGTTTCGTCTCGCATCTTTCGGTGTACCATACCGATGAAATCAGCACCAAGCACTCGGGCTATCGTAGGCACCACGCTGGTGATTGCCGACCGCTGAGCTGTTGCTAGGGTCTGTTGTATGACTTTGTTCACAATGTACATGATATCATCCACGACTGATGTGATATGGGGCGGGTTAGACACCAATGGCTTCCGAAGGTCCAAGGTAAGATCAACGGGCGGCTCATCCAGCTGAAAGGCCTTTTCCACCGAACGACGCAGGAAGAAGGTTGTCATCGCGTTATACGGTGACAACAGCTTGGTATCTACCTTTTGGGCTAGAGGAGAGCCTGTCAAGAAGGACGGTAGCTCT